GGCTGTTGCAGCTGACAGGGCTGAGCGCACGGGGGGGGGGGGGGGGGGGGTCTGGCCTGTGAACCCCCCCCTTCCCCCAGTCTCCCCCTCTAGCTGTCTTGGCTTCAACTCCTATTTCCAGTGGGTCCAAAAAAAGACTGCATTTCTCCAGATTCAGAAACAGTTCACAAAGCCAGTGGAACACCGTCAATACGGTCTCAGACCAAGACTGCCACTAGAAACACTGAGATATGGTATTATGAAACCGCAATTCTCATTATTACCTGCGCTGCCCTTTTATCAACAGAGACCTAAATTTGAACTCGTTCACACTCCAGCACTTTGTGTGAAGGTCAAGCCCACAACGAGGTGTGAACCTGCAACCTGCCAGCTATCCAGAAATCCAGACCCTCCTACTGCAATGGACTGAGCGGCGTGCACAACTTCTCCGTCCTGCAGAGGAATAAATATAAGCAGTCACAGCCACACCACTAAGAACTCTACTTGAGTTATTTAGCCACAGTAGCATACTATGTTATCAGGTCTAAGATAGAGTGGGATGAGACTGTCCTTTGCATTTGACAGCTTGTCAGGTTAAAAAAGGCTGAATGCCACAGCCCTAGTTATGGAAGATTTATTGTACATTGAAGGGCCGTGAGACTGAGGCTGTCATGGACACCAGCACCTGAACATCTATTGCAGATTTATGCTGCACTTAAAGCACTTCAGCCAAATCGGACAGTGAAAATGTCATCTTTTGCAAAACCTCAGGTCTAATGGCCTTCTTTTAAATTCAACCCAGAAATACGTAAAAGTTCTGCTTTTCAGAACGCAGAAACACAGTCAGCCTCACTATCTAGAAAGACACAGGAAGAACATACAGTACCAGCATATCCTCAGGCCATTTCTGCCTTTTGACCAATTTACCTCTGTGCCGCTTCTGCTTAAGAAATCATGCCTTAAGAAATCCTTCTTAAGAAATAAAAACCGCTTAAGACATCATTACTGCATAACTTGATTGGCAATTGCAGCTTATGAAAAAAACAAATCAGGATGAGAAAGTGTAAAACTCCCTGGCAGGGAGGGATTCAAGGGGATGGAATAAAAAACAGTCAATATGTGCCCTAGAAACCCATGTGGCCCAGCAGACTGCTTTTTGTCCCCCCCCTTATCCCACATCACTTCCGGTCTTTTAGGACCCAGGAGCTCCAGAGCTGGGCATTAGGGGAACCACACCTCGAAACAGAACTGGAACACGGGATGGAAACAAGGGAGAGACCGCACCGATGGAAGCAGGCAGCACCCGAGTCTTTTCGCCTCGGGGGGGCCGCCGGCGCTCCCATTACACGGGACATAAAAGAAGCCATAAAAGATACGCTTGCCGAGATCGCTTGCTTTTCTAGAGTGTGAGTGTGTGTGTGCGTGCGTGCCTGCATACTCAGGAGGAACTGTTTGTCCATCTCTGGAAATGCTGGAGCGTGCACGCACGCACGCCATTCTGATGTAAGCGAGATGCAGCTTGAGTTTTATTCAAAAACACGCCATGGTCCTACAGTCTACGTGCTGTAAAAGTTCATGCTTGCCTACCCCTTGCTAAAAAAGTTACAGGCAAAGAAAACAGCTTTAAACGCAAAAAAAAAAACCCTCTGGAGCGAGGAAGGACTGACGCAGGCAGTTGCTGGAAAGAAGCAGTCAGCACCCCCTGGGATCCTGCACACTGTAGCCAGGGCAGGGTGGCTGCTTTCCGGCCAGGGCTCTCGGTCTCTCGTCAAAACAGCAACTCCTGCAACTTGCCAGGCCCCCAGCTTACAGTGACGTCAATAAGAGATGCACTGCTCTTCCAGTTGGCACTCAAACTCCTGCAAGGTGCTGTGGAGCTCATGGAGGGTAAAAGCATGCCTACGGGGTGCTGGTCTCTCGTGCGGATGCAGGAGTCACTGCCAGACAGCCAAGTCTCAAACAATGAGGTATTCCAAACAGAATAAGAGAACCCCCCCCCAGCGGAGGTGTGGAAAAAATTCTAGCAGTTCTTCCATTAAATAAGCGTAGGAGTCCCAGGAGAGATGCTTTCCATATGACTGTATGAAGACAAGTCCGCCAGACACTGATGTGTTTGAGACTGCTCTGTTTGGTGCCTCGTATTTTTGCCTACAGCAAGGGAAAGGCTGGCTCTTTCACACCTACAGTGCTGTGCACACTTTAAAATTATATCTCCCATCGCACCTTCGGGGAAAGCTACTGTGGTAGAGCAGCTGGTAAGGTGACAGACCACCCCCCCCCCTCCGCCCCCCAGTGCCTTGTGATGAAGTAGCCAGTCTGTGCTCTGCCAGAGTGGGGCTCCCATTATCTGACAGCTCCTAATGAAGCCACGGCCCCAATGTAGAAAAAAAGGGAGAGGGGTAATGGGCTGTAGAGAGCCCAGGCTAACGTGCCTAATCGTGTTTGAAATGACAGTGGTGTCCAGGGACCCACAGCGTGATTTATCAGGTCAGTCTGTAAAGTAGCGCAGCAGAGCAGGGTGGGGCTGGTGGAGTTGAAACGATATACCATCTTCAGCAGGGCTCGGAGGGGGGGGTCTCATTAGGACAGAATCGGGCACACAGCCTCCAAGTCTTTCACGTTCCAAAATCCCGCGATCGCCAAAAGCTACGCCGTCCTCCACCTTTGTTCAGATCTACAGCAAAAGACAGAGCTTGGGTTGGAAAGCGAAACAGCAACAGCAGGAGAACGAAAGCCCAGGCCCCAGGCATAGACGGGCCTACTCCCGTTAACAACCTTCCTCATATTAATTAGACTGGAAACAGGTGGCACGTCTTTACACAAAGGGGGGTGGGTGCATGGAACAAGAGGGATGCCCTTGGCTGGATAAAGCCCTTACACCAGTAAAGTAACAGTGAACGTATGAATGGGCTCTTCTTCTTTGCAACCCAGCGAGATACAGCTCTAACCATGCACAGCTAACAGACAAGCAAACCACAGTGTTACCATAGCTAAGAGTCCTTGGGAACATCCCAGCACTCCTAGGACTCAAGGTACAGGCACGCAGCTGTGTCCAAGGGAAAACAAAGCCAAAAGGGAGGTAAGGCTACAACTTGTGACTTAACCACTCCCCCCCCCCCCCCCCCAACACGTGGGCAAGCATCTCTGTCAGGCCTCTCCCGTCGGCAGGCAGCGGGGAGTCTAGTTGACTACTCTTCTCCATCACTTACGCCCCTCCCCAGGGTAAGGGGAAGCTCTTGTTGCGACAGATGTGTCGATCGTCCTTCACACCCGCACCACAGAATAACGCCTCTGCCGGGGCCAGAAGCCGAACTGTCCCTCCAGCGGGTTTCGAAGCAGAACAGGAAATACAGGTCGCCCTGAAGCCCTCCTGCCTTGACTGAATGAAAAGCTGCTTCCCATCCCCAAAGCCTCAACCTCCCCGGTCTCCTTAGTAACGGAGATCCGAGGTCTAATTTCCAGGTCAGCCAGCCCCAGTTTCGGCGAGGCCAGCCGCCAGCCCCCCACCCCCTTCTGGAAAAGGAAAATCGAAAAGGGAAGAGGAAAAAAAAGAAGGTACAAATAAAATGTAAAAGACGGACAGAACTAGGGTGCCGATGATGGAGGGTGTGTGGGGCGGCTGGGCTGGGGGAGGGGGAGTTGGAAGCAGGATTTTCCGAGCTCTCCTCTCCCTCTTTTGGACCTTTCAAAAAGAAAGGAAAAAAGAAATCTCATCAGCCCGTGACACAGAGAGGCAGTCCTTGCTGGATCTTTTCCCTCCGTCATTTACAGAGGGATCATTGGAGAAACAGCATCCTTTTTGACCGAGTTCCAGATGAAAGGATGCCCCCACCCCTGATTAATTAATTTCAGTTCTCTGGATGAAGGTTAACAGCCCCCTCCGCTCAGTTAAGGCTTAAACCGTGGAACTGCGCTTTGATGATTTGAAATGCATGAGGCACATCTACCAATCAATAGCCATTGTTTCTCACTGATCTATCTGCATGCTTCAAACCCAAGCCCGATAACCAGAATTATAACCGTGCATCAAGCAAGGGTCCTGCTATGCTATCCTGCTTCCTGATTTAATCCGAGTCGATTCTGCTTCTCGGGAGGAGACAGTTATTGTCAGTTGTGCTGTATGGTAAAATCATGGCTGAGGCTTCGTTATTGAACTGTCTTATTCGGATGAGATTGGGAATTCAGCTTGATACGTGTGTTTTCAGCAGTGACTAAATGCCCTTGCCCCCAAAATGACACTTAATCTTTGACCTCAGGACCACAAAACAATCAGCTGTTCTTCCTGTGGTACATGGTGAGAAACCACAATGAATTGATGCCTGCTCTCTAACAACGGGATAAAAAGAAATAAGTCAAAATAATGGGCAATTCATTAGGGAGAGTTATTCGTAATTCATCATTATCAGAATGCATTCTGTGGTACAAGGACATGACCAAGATCTTCAGGCTTAAACACTACGAGACTCAAGACAGCATCTGCGGCCAGTGGATTGAAGAGACTTCAAAAAAGAAACGACAGACCTTTCTGCACAATTTTACTATAGAAACAGGGCTCCTGAAATGTTTGGAAACGCAGATCAGAAAATGCAAACGGAGACACAGTTCTTACAGTTAGGGGGAAATTTCTAAAAAATGTCTTTTGCTAGATAAGTTCTACATTAACAGAGCAGGAGAGCATGCTAAAGAGTGTGTGTGTGTGTGCGCGTGTGCAGTCGACTTGATTCAGAACTCCCTCATGCCACGACTGCTAAAGTCGTCTCCTGACAGCTCAACAATGGGAATAGAAATGTCTCCAGCCCTGCGCTTAATAGAATACAATATTGCGCCCCTGTCATTATTTCCCTTTGCCTTAGCTCCCGAGGGGAAAGCGAGCGCAGCGAGATGAGGATGATATGCTCGCGCTCCTGCAGGGAAGATGAAAAACAGTGCATTGCACAGGGGGGAGAGGGAGAAAGGGTGGAAATCGCAAACAATAACCGCTGTCAGTGCTCATCTTGCAACTTATCGCTCATAATCCCCTCGATACGTCTTTATTAACGTCCACCTGGGTCTCCGACAGAGCGTTTATCAGAGCTGCCGTTTTGAGGGAGGAAGTAGGAGACTGGGGCTGATGGCTTGGGAGGTTCAGTCTTGGGGTGCGCGCACGTGGCACACTCACTTAGGGGGACAGAGTGGTCTTGGCTTAAAGTGGATCTGATCTCCTTTTCCATTCCGCCTTCTGTTCCCTGCTGCTATTGCCTGAATTTTAACACTTCAATTTCTGGTGCGGAAGGTTTCTGAAAAAGGACCTGTGTACTGGGGGAACCATTTCAGTGATGCACAGGGCATTGTGCACGAAACACCAGTGTGTGCCTGGACAGTGTGCAATACTCTACTTGCAAAAGCACTAGGGACCAGCAG